GGGGGGGGGGGGTCGTTGAGACGTGCTGAGTATAATAGATGGTACTGACGTTCTCTTTTGGGAACTTGCGTTGGTTTGTGGTACAATGTAGGAACCAGTTTTGAAGGCGAGCAAGCTACATGTTAGGACTTTCCTCACTTCAACTGCTATTGGTGAGCTCCGCTTTATTCGTAGAATATTGCTTTGAGTCATAATTACTTAGCTATTTCTTTATTTACTTGGAGAACTAGCCGGGATTTTATTTCCGGAACAGTGCATCAATTTATCAGTAGAGGCTTCATAGACACAGTCGGTGGGTTAAGTTTCAGATGTTTTTGATAATAACTTTGTAGTATTTCAATCTATGAATAAAATTTTGAAGTTGATTTATTTTAGATATTTAAATTAATTAAAAGTATTTGATTAAAGTATTTCTTTGTTGCATATAAAGTTTGAAGTTATAATAGTTTTGATAAGCGCATACGGTTGGCTCGGTCAAATTTAGCGATCGTCGGTCACGACTTGTTCAGAAAATGGGTCATGACAAACTTGGTATCAGAACCTCAGGTTTATGGCGTCCTAAGGGTCGATGAAGCCGTATCAGTAGAGTCTTGTTTATGGGTATGAAGTGTGTCATACTTATAAATAGGAGGCTACAAGCATTTAGAAAAAGTCTCGTTTTTTCATACTTTAGATCGTATAGTAGAGTCTACCTCTAAGAAATTATCTAATGTATTCATCTTTCCAAAAATCACAGAAATGGCTAGTACTCGCAACTCTGACACCGACACTCATGATGCTACTTAAGAAACTATTGCTACTATTGTGGCTCAAAGTAGAACTAAGAGGCTTCAACTCAGAAAAAGAACGGTAAATCCACAAAGGGGGTTGAAGTACCTCGCGTTGAACATGAAGAAGGGGTAGATCATGATGAGCAAGTACCTCTGGATCTAGCGCCATGTCACGCCCCACCCTCGGGGAGTGCGAGCGACGCTCAATCGAGTGGACCCGATTGAGCAAGCCTGTTACACACTTCCTACCCAACTCGCTTATGATCAAGAGAAGGTGTTTTACCATTAGTTAAACAGTGTAAAGATCATATATATAAACATTGCTAATTCATCTCATTTCATTTTGCTACATCATAGTTGAGTTCCGAAAATATATACACCTTATGATTTAGTGAAACAAGAGTCCAAAACACAACAAAATCTGTCTGACCTTTCTAGAACCCATACACAACCCACATAATGTCTACAGAATCTCTAAATATACAAAACATAGTTATGATAATGCCGGCGACAAGGCCCCGGCTGTACCTCAAAAAGGGGTAACAATATGAACAAAAGATACAACATATGACTTCGGGATGAAATGGGGCTCACCAAGACTGCTGAGAAGAGGATGCACCACTAGCTACAATTAACACTGTCTGCTATGGAACCACCTACACCCATTTGAAGATGTAGCACCCCTGGCAAAAAGGACATTAGTACTGTCGAGTAGTACTAGTATGTAAAGCTACAACACCATCTTAATAGAATGAACAATGAAACAAAGTGGAAACAATCATGATGTACAATAAGAGCTTCAAATAATACTAAAATATCAAGGATCACATATGTTCTCAAATCAATTTCCATCTTATTTGGTGGGTTAATCTTTAGTGACATGTGCCACAATTCACAATACCACGATGTTCTTACACAGAGTTCAATCTCAACCCGATTGGCTAGGTCATCTCATTTGAGACATCTACCACATTCACAAGTTCAATCATAATTTCTAGCACAATTACAACTATGTGTGTGGCATGGCGTCCGATCACGGCCCGATCGACTAGGCCATCTCACTTGAGACACCATCCTTTCAATCAATCATCTCACTTTACATTTCTTTCCCATCTTTCAATACATTGGCACGAGTGGCCTCATTTATTAAGTCGTTCTTGGCACTTGGCCATATTTTAAAATTCAAGTTTTCCTTTTTTTTTACACATTCAATAACATTATCAGTAATAATAAGGCCTATCATGTAAGGCATTTGTACACATAAGGACAAAACTTGGAAAATCCTAAGCACATAGAGGCCTTTCATACAAATTGGCATAACAACCTTTATTCGATTTTCGACATGAAGTTGTAACCTTTCTTAACACATATTCCACATTGTAAACACATCCACGAAGGGTAAGATGACATGATAAGCATTTAGTACAAATATTGAGCATATTTCATTCAACACAACACACTTGGCACAGTCAATTCTAGTATGATCAATTTATTGACTTACACCAATTACAAGAACACTAGGGGTTTCGATTCTAAGAAGAAGGGGGTTTAGCCATACATACCTCAATTGAGACTCTTAAAACTTTAATATGTTTTAGAATTAGCAACTTCAATCTATTTTAGAAATACCCAAAATTAGGAAAACGATCGTAATTTTATCTCACTTGAGCATTCTATAAACCACTTTGTATGTATTAAGGTTTCATAGCCCCTTTTTATGAAATACTACACCAACCAACACCCCATTCTTTTTCATCTTTTACTCACAACCTTCCTACATACCTTAAGAATACATGCATGCAAGGTAAGCATTCTCATCCCTATGAATTACCTTTATTAATAGCCCATTCTAGTTACATCTTGAAATTAAGAGTTTGAGTAATAGAATCTTACCTCTTAGGAAGAAGACCTAGGTGCCTCTCTTGATAATCTTCAAGGTGTTAAGAAAGAATAGAAGAAGAAATTTGATGAAGATCACCTTATCTCTCTACTACTCTCTTTCTCTCTCTCTAAACATATAAGAAAACTAGCTAAAAATGGCACCTTACCTCTATTTTAGCGAAGTTGGGTCGGGTTTTAAAACCCAAAAATGTAGCTCTGGAACAGGTTCTATGGCCGCATATATGCGATCTGCAAAATGGCCGCGAAAAGTGGCCCTAGGAACTGGGCTGGTCTGTCTCATTCTGCGGCCATTATGTGGCTCATAGACCTGTTCTGCGGTCGCATAATGCGCAGAACCTCCCTCTGCAAAATTCCAAGGACGATTATGCGACCAAAGTGCGGCCCGCGAAATGGATATGCGGTCGCAAAATTGGATGCGAAACTGACCTCAAAATTGACCGAAAAGAGTGTTTCACTCTGCGGCACCCAAAGTGATTATGCAACCACATAATGCAGGAAAATGCCTACTTCTACAAAAATATTTCCTTCAACTCCCCAAAGTGATTACGCTTAAACATTTTAAGCAAAATTTTACGAGGCCTTACACGCCACCCCCAATAATAGTTCCGGCTCAAACAACTATATCTACAGATGTGGGTCAAATGTTTAATGTTGTCAACAGTGCTATGGAGATGTTTAAAGCCTTCACAGCCAACCAGAACAAGAGAAGAGATGAGAATCCACTCAATCAAATAGACAAATCAATTCTGAGTCTTCAAGAGTGAATGAATTTTTAAAGTTAAGTCCTCCATTGTTCTGTGGTCCTATAGTTGATGAAGATCCAATGTTGTGGCTGGAAGGTGTCAAGAAAGCCCTCCGAGCGATAAAGGCATTTGATGATGAAGCTGTAGAGCTGGCTGCCTACCAACTTAGAGATGTGGCTGTCTTTTGGTTTGAGATGTTGGAAAAGGAAAGATGTGAAGATGATAGTCCGACTACTTAGGAAGAATTCGAAGAGGTCTTCATGGGTAATTTTATACCAGAAAAGGATATAGAAGATAAGGCTATAGAAATTGAGCAACTCAAGCAAGGGAATAAAAGTGTGCAAGAGTACTACATGGAATTCATAAGTTTGGCTAAGCATGCTCATCACATGGTTAAGATGGAAAAAGCAAAGATCTGTAGGTTTGTTGCAGTTTGTCTTACCACATTAAGGATACGACATCAGCTATAGCGATAGGAATGACAGCTTTCTCCTCTGTTCTGGGTTTTGCCAAGTACTTAAAAAAGACAGAAAACAAAGGAGATAAGAGAAAAAGCATAACAAGAAAGCTCAAGAAGAGAAAGAGCATAACAAGAAAGCCCGAATATTGGATAAGTTTAGTGGTACATCTAGTAGAGGAGGAAGGGGTTCCTTCAGCAAGGGGTCATTTGCACCAGCTCAGTCCAGTCATCAGTGAGGTGGTGGGTCTTTTATCAAACGTACTGAGAGTTATGGAAACCAGTCTCACCAGAACTAGAATTTGAGGACACCATCCTCAAATAGCTAGAGTCATGTTGATCAACACTCACAACAACAAGGTCTTTATGGTAAATGTAAGCGATAACATTCAGGTCAGTGCAAGCTCGGGTTTCAAGGTTGTTGGCCCAAGAACAGGTGAAGTTTTGAAAATTGACAAAAGAACTCAGACATGGACCAGGTCCATCTTGTGAAGCACAGTCATTATCAACCTGTACATGTGAGATGCACGTGAAGGAGATAAATCTAACTGATCAAGAAGCAATATCTCCTGATCTGATAGAAAAGGTTGCATATTGGATAAGGAGAGAAAGACTCCTTACATGAAGAGAACACAGTTTAGGATGAAGATAGTGTTAGAGTTTGAGATCATCATGAACTCTTCCACGATAGAAGAGTAGCAATTGAATCCCAGTCAAACTCTGATTACTAACCTATTAAATGTCAATGTTGTTCTCTTTTATAGGTAATGCACATAAGCAAAAGTTAAACTTAAATTGAGAGCAAAAGAGCAAGGTGATTTTGCAAGCAATTTATGTGTGATTTGAGTGTGCAATCCTGAAGCTGCTTGAACGAGATAGAAGAATCAGTTCCAAGTGTCTATCTTTTATTCTAGTTCAATTGTAGTAGGAGATTTTACATTATACCTTTCAGTTTTCATAGAAGCAATTGTATTAGGTACCTAGAGTGTTCAAGTTAGAGTTAACTTGAAGTTGTCACAACAGTTGAGGCTGTGTGCTACAACGGGATTAGAGTTAATCCTTAGGTTTACAAAGAGTTTTTGTAAATGCTATTTTGGCTCAGTGATTTTAGTGGAAGTTTGGAAAATCCTACTGAGTAATAGGTCGTGGTTTTTTCACCTTTTGAGCCAGGTATTTTCCACGTAAAAATCTCTGTGTTCTTTATTTTTTGTATTTATTATTCCGCAAACGGTAGTAGTTGGAACACCTAGAAGAACCAGGTTCTTCTATAGTTCAGTTAAGCAAAAATTGGGTACCACACAAATCAACCCCCCTCGTGTATGGTATTGACGCTTAAAACATCAATTAGTGTCAGTGCGGGTTATCCTTGAAGAGGTTAACACCTTAGGAAAAGATCAAGATGAGTGCACAACCTGGAAACTGGGAAGGGCAATCCACTGCTAGGCCTCAACTCTTTAATGGTCAGTACTATTCTTGGTGGAAGAACATGATGAGAGATCACATCATAGGAGAAGACTATGGACTTTGGGACATAGTCACTGATGGTCCCTTGGCGACTACAAAGAAGAATGATGAAGGAGTGGACGTGCCAAAGACAAGAGCTGACTGCACTGCTGAAGACTTGAAGAAACGGGAGAAGAATGCCAAGGCCAAGAAATGGCTTGTGTGTGGACTGGGTCCAGATGAGTACAACAAGATTCAAAGTTGTACCACTTCCAAAGAGATATGGGACACTTTACAAGTGGCTCATGAAGGAACTCCTCAAGTAAAGAGATCAAGAGGAACACTGTTATATTCTCAATATGAGAATTTCACTATAAAGGAAGGAGAAACTATCCAGGAGATGTACACAAGGTTCACAACACTAACAAATAAACTTAAATCTCTTGGGAGAATTATCCTTGAAGAAGACAAGGTTGAGAAAATTTTGACAAGGGTCTTACTAGTGACTTGGGAAAGCAAAATCACTGCTATTCAGGAATTGTCACACCCCCTTTTTACCCCTCCAAGAGATAAGTGTGCAAAATGTAACGTGCTATGGATTGTGGGTTAAAGAGTTTTTTCATTTGAAGCAACAAATTTGAAATAGGGATTATTTCGTTTACAGAGTCACCACTTGGAATTGATTTTTGCCGGTGTTCCAAGTCACCTTTATTTGAATCCCTATTCAAAGGAAGGTGTGACTCTATTATTATTGGTCTACAAAAATAAGTCCGGGTAAGGAATTCTATTGACCGGGGAGAAGGTGTAAGGCATTCCCTGAGTCCCGTGGTTCTAGCACGATCGCTTTATTGACTACATTTGGCTTGAATTAATTTTGGACAAACTATGATTTATATTATTTTTATGTTTTACCTATGCGCCTTTATCTCTTGATTATTAGAAAAATAAGAGAATATTTTTGAATAAGAAGAGATAAAGGCGGATAGGTAAAACATGAAAATAATATAAATCATAGTTTGTCCAAAATTAATTCATTTACTTTCCCAATGTAGCCAGAGATGTCACACCCCTTTTTTTAACCAAACTTCACTAACCCCTCTTAAATAAATAAAAGGAATTTATAAAGCTTGAAAAGGGTTTTCAATTAGAAAGTGATGAAATTTTGTGCAAAAGAAAATTACTCAGAGTCGCCACTTGACATTGATTTCAGTGTGTCAGTTCATCGTTTTTTTTAAAAATAATTTTTACTTTTAAAATACTTGGACTCGAAAATCAAGTCCGCACCAGAGATTCGGGTAAGGGGGTTCATATGACTCGGGGAGAAGCTGTTAGGCATTCCCCAAGTCCTGTAACTAATACGGTTGTGTACATGATCAAGTTAGCTTTTAGAATGTTTGAATTGAGGTAAAACACACAAAGAAAAATAAACATCCAAAAGGTTCGAGGTCGTCCCTTCCTAATAAAAGAAAAATAAAACAAAATAAAGTAAGTCTTCTTAACTTATACTACGCCTTCATTGATGATGCCACGACTCCATTTACATTTACTTCGTGGCATTCCCCGGGTTAAACTATTTACAATGTCTACGGGGCATTCCCCGAATGAATTTATCTAAGGGACCACCTCTCACCTTACGTTCAAACATTATAAGTTAAACTAAACATCTTGAGGCGTGCCTACCCAAATGATGATGGCCTAAGCATGTTACTAGCAGGGAAGTGAAGAGCTAATAATAACTAAATAGAATTACTAAACTTTAAATGCATTTCCGTTTTCTTTCAATTTTCAATTTTTTCAATTATACGGCCTTTTGATTCAAGCTTAACTAATGAAATAATAATATAATATTTTCTTTTTAAACAATACTCTACCCACACCCATTTATGTAAAACTTGAGCAATTGAATACCAATTTAGTGATCACAAAATTAAATCAAATTATAGTTCCATGCATCCAAACCAACAGATTCTAAACTATAAATACTTAAGCATGGAAGTAAGGCAAAACACAAGTAATGGAAGAAGATTAAATCTAACTAAAAGTAAATGATATAGTAGAACAGAAAGGAACCTGTTAAGAAAGTGTTTTTTAGTACCCGAAAATTGAAACAACTTTGCCAAAGTGTAAATCCGAATGAAGGAGACAACAATGAGACGAATCCGAAACCACGAGCGAAACTCAAACCGACAACCTAAAATGAGCAAACTCTACGAGCAGCAACAAAATCGGCCAGAAACTCAGTTAGAATTGATAGACTCGACTGAAAGACGATGAGCTAACCGGTTTCCGGTGAAGCTCGACTTCGAGCACAACTTCAATGTAAGATTTCAGAGCTGAACAAACAGTGACCTTTTCGTGTGAGTGTCAGCTGGTACGTAGGAGAAAAAAATCGAGGGGTCGATGGTTGTGGGTCGACTGATTTTTAGTTCCGTTTTGAGATGAAAAAAGGATAGTTTTCGAGCTGATTTTTGGGGGATTTTCGTGTTAGTTTCCGCCGGTTCCCGGCGAAGCTTGCCGGCAATGGAACCTGAATGTTTGAGATCTTGAAACAGTTGGGATTGGAGTGCTCTTGTGTGTGTTAGCTTCAAGAAAATGAGGCGAGGGGTCGTTCGTGTCAGCCCGAAGAGAGGGGGGTCAGTTTGCCGGTGTTGAAGGGGTCGCTGACGGCTGGAGCTGGAGGAGTTAGCTGGTCATAGATGTGTGTGGAGTGGTCGCCGGCGGGTGAAGGTTGATGCGGCAGCTGACTGTTCTCTTAGGGTTTTTTGTATATTTTTGTCTTGTGTTCAAGATTAAGATCTCATGGGGTTGTTCTCATGGTTTGTCCTGGAGAACAAGATGAAGGTCTGCTCCTTGTTTTGTGTAATCCGTTGAAGACGATGAAGGTCTTCTCCATGTGAAATACGGCTGAACCCCTCCCTCTAGGTCTAGGTTTTTTTATTTTTCTTGTATATTATCTTAAATGGGTGTCTAGGTTTGGGCTTTTGAGTTAATGAGCTAAGGGATTGGTTTAATTGGGCTACAAGCAAGACTAAATTGGTCCGAAAACTAATTCTATTCTCTCCTTCTTTTTGTATATAAAAATAATATAGCAAACAAGATAACTATTAAAAATACTACTTATTCTTACTTAAGAAAAAATTATTAAAATAATACTAACCGTTTAAGACAAACCTATTTTTTGGTATTTTTTTCAAGATTAAAAATGACTACAAAACCTTAATGAAACTATTTTTTGTAATTTTCATCTATGTGATAAAAAATAATGTAGAAGAGTCAAAATTAGTTGAAATAACTATATTAGGCTTAAACTAAGTATTTAAGTGCTAAAATATGTAAAATCTTGGGGAGGGTCAAAAATCGCATGTCTACAGGAATCAAAGAACATTGCTACTCTCAAGCTGGATGAACTGATTGGAAACCTCATTGCCTATGAACTGAGAAGGCAAACCATGAAAATGGATGCACCCAAGAAGGAAAGAAGTCTGGCTCTCAGAATAACTGAAGGTGCAGATCTGGAGGATGATAAAATGGCCATGATCACAAGGAATTTCAAAAAGTACCTAATGAGAGGAAAGGGTTCTTCAAGAGGTACAACCTTCAACAAACCAAGGCTCCTGAGAAATAGACCAATGAGGGTTGCTACTATTGTGGTAAGACTAATCACATGATCAAAAATTGTCCTCAGTGGGAAATTGAATGGAAGAATGAAAGGGCGGAACGAAGGAACAGGAAGAAGGAACAGGTTCAACCCAAAAGGAACAAAGGATCAATAAAGGCTATGGTTGCTGCTTGGGGAGAAATATCAGATGAGGATTCAGAAGATGAAGCTGGAGATGAACAAACACTTATGGCCATCGGAGAATCCGATGATGAACAAGAGGTAAGTGTCCTTCATCTCAAAGACAAGATAAAAATTTTGTCTAAAGATAGGTTGTTTGAACTATTGCTGGACTTCATCGATGAGTCTGAAATAATTAACAATGAGAAGGAAGAGCTGTCTAGGGAGTGTGTGATCTTAAAATCCAAGTGCAAAAATCTAGAATCTAGGGCTAATGAGAGTGACAGTAAAATGCTGAGTTGAAGAACCAGGTTCTTGAACTTGACACCAGTGTACAAGAACTTAAGTCTGAAAATTTAAAACTAAAATTAGAAACATGTAAGAAGAAAGCTGATCACACACATCTCACCTTAGAAGAAAACTTAGGAAAAATGAAGGATGAGTTGTACAAGAAAGATGAGCAGATAAGAGTCTTAAAAGAAGACCTAGGGAAGGTAAAGCATGAACTAGACAGAACTTGCAAATGGAATAAGGCTTCTAATGCACTTTCCTGGCTACAAGAACATCACAGTAGAAACAAGAGAGGACTTGGCTATGGGGCTCAAGAACCTAAGTGGGACCCTAAAAGCAAGTATCTCACTCTTCCTGAAAACAAAATCTGCACACACTGTGGCAAGACTGGTCATTACAAAAATGAATGTAATGCAAAAGAAAAAGCCAGTCAAAAGAATAAAGCCTTTGTTCAAGAGAAAAATAGGTTGCTTGGGTGGGCTAAAAGGAATTTGATTTACCCCTCTCTGCCTATAGAAAGGGACCCAAACTAGTTTGGGTTCCTAAGACTAACCCCTGATTTCTTTTTGCAGGTCCAAGTGAAGGGAAGTAGCCAAATATGGTACATGAATAGTGGCTTCTCAAAACATATGACTGGAAGCAAGAACCAGTTCCTTTCACTTGAGTACTTAAAAGGAGGTAATGTCTCCTTTGGAAATGGGAAGAAAGGTGAGATTATTAGGGTTGGAAAGGTAGGTAAGACAGGCTCACACTCTATTAAGAATGTCTACTTGATAGATGGCTTGAAATATAGACTAATCAGTGTATCATAACTGTGTGACAGAGGTAACCTTGTAGCATTTACCTCCACCAAATGCTTTGTGATTAACCTTACCACTAACAAGATTGTTTTGTAGGGAAAAAGAGTTAACAATATTTACATTGTAGATTTGTCTACTCTCTCAGAAAATGAACTCACTTGCTTGAGTGTGTTGGACAATGATTCCCTCCTATGGCACAAAAGACTTGGTCATGCAAGTCTGAATCAACTCAATAAATTAGTCTCCAAGGACTTGGTGATAGGGTTACCTAACATCAAGTTCAAGGAAGACAAAGTCTGTGAGGCCTATGCAAGGGGGAAACATGTAAGATCATCCTTTAAAAGCAAGAAAATGGTAAGCACAACCAGGATGTTGGAACTGGTTCATATGGATCTCTGTGGTCCAATGAGAACATTGAATAGAGGTGGTAAGAAATATGTGATGTACTTGTTGATGATTATTCTAGGTTTACCTGGGTACTATTCTTAACATCTAAAGATGAAGTATTTGACATGTTTACCGCTTTTGTTAGAAAGACTCAGAAACAACTAGGTAATCAACTTGCATCCATTAGGTCTGATCATGGAACTGAATTTGAAAATGCTAAGTTTACTGAATTTTGTGATGAGCATGGTATAGATCATAACCTCTATGCCCCTAGGACTCCTCAACAAAATAGAGTAGTTGAAAGAAAGAACAGGACTCTTGAAGATATGGCCAGGACTATGCTTCTTTCTAGTAAACTGCCCCACAACTTTTGGGCAGAGGCTATAAACATTGCATGTTATATCATAAATAAATGCATGACTAGACCTCTTGTAGAGAAGACTCTCTATGAGTTACTTAAAGGGAGAAAGCCAAATATATCACATCTTAGGGCATTTGGATGCAAGTGCTTCGTGCACAATAATGGAAAGGACTCCCTGAGTAAGTTTGATCCCAGAATTGATGAGGGAGTATTCTTGGGATATTCTTCACATAGCAAAGCATATAAAGTGTTTAATAAAAGAACTTTGTGTGTAGAAGAAAGTGTACATGTAGTGTTTGATAAAACTAACACTCTTTTTGAGAGACAAGAACATGAAGATGAAGCTATTGGGCTGGTAAAAGATTTGACTGAAGTCTCAGCACAAGCTAAAGTCGCATCAAAAGAAGGAACAGGTGATGGAACAGGTTTTTCCATCCAGGGCAACCTAACGGGGGGAACTGATCAAAGAGGAACTAAAACTAATCCCCTAAAAGAACCTGTTCATGACCTTGTTCCTCAGCAACAGAACATGGGAGAAACATCAAGCAGAAACTAGTTGGTTGTGAAACATCACAAGTATCAAAGTTCACATCCTATTGAGAATATAATTGTTGATCCAACCTCTGGAGTCAAAACTAGATCATAATTAAAGAATTTGTGTGCTTTTGATGCTTTCCTATCTCTTATTGAACCTAAAAATGTTGTTGAGGCTTTGCAGGATGCAAATTGGTTAAATGTAATGCAAACTGAATTCAATAAGTTTGAGAGAATTCAAGTATGGCATCTAGTTCCAAGACCCAAGGACAGATCAGTAATTGGCACAAAATGGATCTTCAGAAACAAACATGATGAAGATGGAATAGTTACAAAAAATAAGGAAAGACTGGTGGTCCAAGGTTACAGCCAAGATGAGGGTATAGATTATGATGAGGCTTTTGCTCCAGTTGCAAGACTAGAGGCAATAAGACTCCTCATAGCCTTTGTAGCACACATGGAATTCACTCTTCATCAGATGGATGTCAAAAGTGCCTTCCTGAATGGCTACCTAAAAGAAGAAGTGTTTGTGAAACAACCTCCAGGGTTTGAGAGCAAGGAATGTCCTGAGCATATGTACAAATTAGACAAAGCTCTCTATGGACTCAAGCAGGCTCCTAGAGAATGGTATGAACGACTGCCCAAATTCCTGCTTGAACATGGCTACAAAAGAGGTAAAATTTATAGTACTCTATTCCTGAGGAAAAAAGGTAAGGATCTTCTTGTGGTACAAATATATGTTGATGACATAATTTTTGGGGCCACCACTGACAAACTGAGTAAGGATTTTGCCAAATTAATGGGGAGTGAATTTGAAATGAGTATGATGGGTGAGCTTAACTTTTCTTAAGCTTACAGATCAAACAAAGCCCAAATGGAACCATGATCCATCAGTAGAAATACGCAAAGGAGTTGATCAAAAAGTTTAAAATGGATGAATCAAAGAAAATAGACACCCCCATTGCAACTGCCACTAAATTAGACATAGATGAACCTGGTTCATCTGTTGATCAGAAGTTGTATTGGGGTATGATTGGTTCACTTTTGTATCTTACTTCCAGCAGACCTGACATAATTTTTAGTGTAGGGCTTTGTGCTCGCTTTTAGGCTAATCCAAAAGAATCTCACTTGACTGCTGTCAAGAGGATACTGAGATATTTGAAGGGCACTACTAATCTGTGTCTTTGGTACCCTAAAGGTAGTAATTTCAATCTAGTAGGGTATGTTGATGCTGATTATGTAGGTTTCCTTGTGGATAGGAAAAACACCTCAGGTATGGCTCATTTTCTTTGTTCATGTCTTGTATCATGGGCCACTAAAAAACAAAATTCAGTGGCCTTATCCACTGATGAGGCTGAATATGTTGTTGCTGCCTCTTGTTGTGCTCAACTGTTATGGATCAAACAGTAGCTGGTAGATTTTGGCATTGAAGTTGTTTGTATTCCTATATTCTATGATAACACTAGTGCTATAAGTATGACAAAGAACCTTGTTCATCATTAGAGGACTAAGCACATAGATGTTAGACACCACTTCTTAAGAGATAACTATGAGAAAGGATTGATCTCCATAGAATTCTGTGCTACTAATAAACAAATTGCTGACATCTTCATTAAAGCTCTGAGTAGAGAAAACTTTGACAGGAACAGGTTGGAATTAGGGATGATTAAGATCACCTAATAGGTCCAGCTCCGAATGCACAGGAAAAAAAATTGAAAAAAATGATTTTTTTTTGCTAGGAACTCTGAACTTGTGTAAATATCTAGATTAATTTTTACTCAGCTTCATACTTTATTTAGTATACTCCTGTGACATGTGTTAATATGACTCACTGATCTCTTACAAAATTTTCTCTATTATGGTAA